CTATAATATATGTACTATTTTACTAAATTCAAAATAGTTTACTAAAGTGGTACTTTCCCAGATGATATATCAGTTTACTATAAAGCGTGATTCAGAACTTATTCAAAAAAAAAAATTTGTTATTATTAATTAACAAAATTAATTTGTGGTTTTAAATAATAAAATAATTTGACATACTTAATGTTATAACAACTGTTCAAAACTTTATCCACCGACGTGTGAGCACATTTGGGTCCGTCTTACTCAGTTTCTACGAACTAACACAACTGATGTCTTGCTTCACCAAAAATTAAAACTTTTATAAACACCACAGATAACAGGTAAACACTAACGCTATGACGATTGTAAAATCAGATTTCAGTATTCGGAGTCGCTGAGGCCACGTGGCTCTCCAGGCGTATTGCGAATGATGCTAGAGACTACAGTAGTTCAGCTATGTAATGGTCGTATGTACTACAACTTCAATAATTTTTTTCTCGGAAACTATAAGGATTTTACAAAATACAGTCAGTCCAAGATAAGGATGTAATAGCATTAGGATCTAGGAAACGATAAGAGATACGGGGGGCTCAAATTAGAAAAAAGTTGTGTTTTTTTATACCTAACAATATACCATTTAGAAAGTCTTAAAATAAATTGCATATTTACATTGCCACTTTTTTCGCTCTATCCAGTGGCGTCAACACTTTTACAATCCGACGTTTCATCTTCGAGGAGCCATCATCAGGTTATTTTTTTAAATACGTCGATGCTGTTTTTATGACAAAATCGAAAGTCATTTTTAATTCTCAATTAGATGATATTGCTATTGTAATCTCTTAAAAAGGTTTTTAGCTTTGTTTAGCTATCATTTAAAATATTTCCTTAGTACGGCTCTGAACGGTTTCTAAATATCTATTGGAGGAAGTCATAACAGTATAAAAGTCAATACAGCACACTATATCCAACAATTTTGCTAATAGTTGCAAAAAAAATAATTTTAAGTTACTCGTTCGCTGTTCATACTAAAAAGCTATATTAGTTTAGTAAAACTTTGTTTTTCTAAACTTGTTGTTTAGAATATACTATTATCACGCTATAAATATATAATAATAAACGAAAAAAAGAAACATATTGACATTTTGGCTCCATGAAAAATTCAGAAGAAATCTGTTCTTTTAAATTATATTTATATGCATCGCCATTACATAAAAAAAATATGCTTTATTTTACGCTGACTTATGAATGCATTAAATTAGACACCTCCTCAGGTATACATGTGTAGGATGTCCACCGCAATATTCGTCAGTGGGTGGGACCCCGAGATAGGAGTTAAATATAGAATTTCAATTTATTTTTGCGGTCTAAAATTTCTGACGGGCCCCTAAAAAGATGATCGATAAGGTCCAGCCGCTAGGTCTCCTGTTGGTTTTTATTTTTCGTCAGAGGAATTTATAATATCCAGATTTGTCTTACAAACAAACCCGAAATTTGCAGGGTTTTTTTGTTGCGTGATCGATGGACCTTCTCGTCTCTTGGAACATATTTATTATGTGCATCCCAGCATTCTTATATTAAAGTTTAGGATTATTAATAAAGGTGGCAATGCCAAATAAAAGGTTCGTCTCGCATTTTCTTAATCGCATTAGCTTATATCATACAATTTTTTTCATCCATCTCACGCTCCATGTTTTCACTCAATGTTTTATCTGCATTCAAATACATTGTGAAGAGTTTTGGGTCTATCCAATTTTCCGTAAGTATTTAGTAATCTCATACTCAGGCATCGGTGCGCCATCCTCCCTCTGTTTTCCTAGTGCTTTGGCGGCCAGCGGCTTATCACACGCACCAAACTCGCCGATTCATTACCTCGTAGTTCGTACGCCCGTATTTGCAAATGAATTTTAATTAAGGCGGCGTATGCAGACGAATGCATCAGGTACGCAGGTTATTAATTAATAGACAGCTACGCCTTAGGAATGACTTAAGCGATGTCTCGACTGCTGTAATGCGATTTTGACAGGTTGTTTATCGTGGAATCGACAAATAGAGGCACTAAACGTCTTAATTAGGGCCCATTCTTATTATACAGGGTGGTTTTGAAGTGCGTAAGGGTCCGATTATTCTTTAATAGCTTTCATACTACGATGGACAATTTCATACACAAGTAATTTTTATTTCCTTGCAACAAAAAGCGCATAAAACTGCGACTGTGCTGAAACCGCTTTTATTTGTCTTGGGACTTGAATAGGGCAATCCATTGTCTTTTACGTGAGTCATGTATTTATTAAGCAAGTACTTAGTCGTGAATTTAATTTTTTATATACAGGGTGTTAAAAAAAGAGTGTAAAATATTTCAGGAGGTAATGGTATGAACCAAAATAAGCAGAAAAGTCTTAATAAACATGGGTCCGCAAAGTAACGGTTGCGGAGATATGGACCACTATTCGTTTTTCAAACATTTTATTTTATTAGGAATAAACCGACAAAGGAAGCTTTTAACAAACAAAAAACAAAGTTAGAGAAGATGNCTTGTAGAGATAATTATGTAAATTGGTACTTGCGATATATATTTAGCAAAATTAAAGATTCAGCTGTCGCTTTGCGAGTTAAAGCTTAGGTTACATTTCATTAACAACAGATTTCGTGTTGAAACCGAAGCATGTACGCAATTTTTTTTATTTTTCGTTCGTAAACGGTGTTCCAAAAGAAATACATCCATTAAATTTCTGCCGCAACAAGTGAATAATTGCCGTATGGAAAGTGGTACCATCCTGCTAGAACCACATGTCATCCAAATCCATGTCATTGAATTCCACGTAATTTGCGCTCAGCTACACACTCTCCGTACTTGTAATGAATGTTCACAATTTTGACTGGCTCATCCATCGTATTTTACTACATTTTACTACAACATGTAACACTGACAACTATTCGGAATGATAATGACGCACAATTCAAGTCCTGCGTTACTTTTGGCCGTTATATTTAGAATTACCTCGAGACAAAACATATTTCCCGAATTACTAAAGTAAGACTAAACGTGTATGGATCCCCCTAACGATGATATTTGTTCCGATCACATAGAACACCTTATCGAATATTTCAGATTTATGGCAAATACTAACAAATAACTTACTAATGAAATACAGGATTCGGAAACGAATTTTTGCCGTGCGAGTTCATTGACTTTTTTTGCAGACGCCTGAAGTTTTTATGACCCGATCATTTCGCAAATTAATGTCGCCCAACCCGAAGTTGTATAATAAAAATTGACGGTATGCGAATTGTGACGGTGTGGTGATAAAATAACATTATTCATACATTACAAAGGTCGCAATATTGTTAAATTAATATATTTTGTAACGTATACGTGAAAAAAAAAACAGGTAAAAGTGGTCGCTGACCTCTAAACAGCTTCCTAAGATTAAATTTGAAATGTTAAACATACAAATAGGCGGGTCAGATGTTACCTAGGTAGCAATAAATTCGAATCTTGCGGTAATAACAGCTTAGCGATGATAGAGGCGTATCTATCTTCATTACGGGCCTCACAGGGAGTTTTTTTACAAGTGACGTATGTTACAACAACTGTTCAAAAATTTGTCCAACGACGTGTAAACACATTTGGCTCCGTCTTACTCAGTTTCTACGAACTAACACAAATGTTGTCTTGCTTCACCATAACACAAATGCTTCACCATAATACAAATGTTTTCTTGCTTCAAAAATTTGTCCAACGACGTGTAAACACATTTGGCTCCGTCGTACTCAATTTCTACGAACTAACACAAATGTTGTCTTGCATAAATTATAACTGGGACAGTGTTCTTAAATGACACAAACAAGCTTGTATACGGTTATTGTAATTTACTGATTATTTAAGTAAAGGTTCGATTGCTATAATGCTGGTTTTGACAGGTTGTTTATGCATACACTAACGTACCAAATATTTTCATTAGAGCTTAGTCTTATTAAACAGGAGAATTTTGGAATGTCTCTCTAACTGTGTTGAAACCGTATTGGGACTGTGCTGAAGCCGTTTTGTTTGTTATATGATCTGGATAGGGCATTGTCTTTTATGTGTTTTCTTATTTATTTAGTTATTATTTTAAGGCTATGAACATAAACGTATACAGCTTGAACACAGTCAATATACTATCTAGACACAGTTTTCTTAAATAAGATAATCAAGCTAATAATGGCACTATTTTTTATTTTTATATATTTTTAAAAATTATAAATTTGAATTCACTTTTATTTTGTCCATACGAGTTAATATACGGTCTTGCGCAGTCTTCGGTGAAGCGTTTATGATAGCTTTAACACAGTTGTAGTCTGTTCTAAGTGACTTTTCACAGGTTTATAGTAATACTAACAATAAGACGTCTTAAGGATGATTTACGCATTGATAGATTGTTTTTGATAGAGTCAACTGACTGACATACCAAACGTTTCAATTAGAGCTTAGTCTTTCTATACAGAACGATTTTCAAATGCCTAAAGGACTTATTCTTCTTCATTCTGTTTTTAGACTACGATGGACAATTCATACTCAAGGAATTTTGTTTCCTTGGGACAAAAAAGCCAAACAAAACTCTGATCGTACGTTGACTGTGTTGAAATCGAGGTAGACCTGTGCAAAAATCGTTTTGTTTGTCAAAGGAATAGGCATTAATAAATTTGAATAGGCACAAAGTTATTATTTTAATTCTCTGAACACAAACTTGAACAAAACTTGAACATCGTTGTTATCCGATCTGGGCATAGCTTTGTAGAACAAAATAAAGAGCTCTTATAGGTACAATTGTCGATTATTCCTTTAGTAAATGACAATTGACAGTTTTTGCACAGTTAGTTGTAGTCTCTCATATACTGTCTTTTCACAAGTTTACAGTAATTCTGCACAAACTTCACTGAATTTCTATTAATGTTATTCTATGTACTTAAGTACTGCGTTGGACATTTTGACTAATGATTACATTCTCCTTTTCAGATGGTTCAAATGAGAGGTCACTAATATGGATTTGGATAGAGTCACAGTGTTGTTACTGGCAACAGTATGTTGCGTCTCGGCAGCAGTAACGAAAGGTAAGTACGATATAGGGTACGTGTATAGGGTGTTTTAGAAATAAATGCCGTAATTTTAAACACGTTTTAAATGCCTCAAAAACAACAACTTTTGTCTAATATTTTTTTTCGAGAACTCATATTGTTAATCTGTATTTTAATCATTATAAAATCTCTCTGACGAGCTGTCTATGGTCAAGTAAATATCTTAAGTAGCGATGCAAATATTAATTCAATTAAGCGTTTCGATTTATACTGCAGTATCGGACGACAAAGAATTTAAATATTAAAAGATTGTACTATCTTAAAAATTCAGAAAAAAATAATTAGTTTAAAATTTTGGCCCTTATTACTGGAACAGCCTGTATCATATGTATGAAATATACGTATATAATTTAAGAATTTCTTGAAGGTTACAAGGTATATCAAATATTTAATACTATACGAGGTTTGATAAAAAAGTAACAAGAATTGTTAATTTTCCATGAAATTATTTATATAATCTTCAGTTTTTATCCCATCTCCTTCAAAGTATCCCTCTGTATTATACCCCTATGCCAATGTAGTTTCCAGACCCCAGAAATTGGTAATTTGCCGCTTTTGAACAAGGTGCATCCTAAATTACAAATTTCTTTACACCAAAAAGTAATTTGTGTTTGAAACTAAGTCTATTTTACAGAAAATCTCCGTTAGAATGGAGGAAACTCTGTTATTTGTGCATTAATTCATATTTAGGCAAACTGTGTAATAAAATAGAGTCCTCTTTACTCTGTAGAAATCTTCTGCAAAACATTGTATTTAAGATGTAGTGATTAAGAAATGATTAAGAGATAAAAAAACACTAATGTTAGCTACCGGCTAAACAAACCAAGTTATTCATTCAACTTGTAGAGATAATTATGTAAATTGGTACTTGCGATATATATTTAGCAAAATTAAAGATTCAGCTTTCGCTTTGCGAGTTAAAGCTTAGGTTACATTTCATTAACAACAGATTTCGTGTTGAAACCGAAGCATGTACGCAATTTTTTTTATTTTTCGTTCGTAAACGGTGTTCCAAAAGAAATACATCCATTAAATTTCTGCCGCAACAAGTGAATAATTGCCGTATGGAAAGTGGTACCATCCTGCTAGAACCACATGTCATCCAAATCCATGTCATTGAATTCCACGTAATTTGCGCTCAGCTACACACTCTCCGTACTTGTAATGAATGTTCACAATTTTGACTGGCTCATCCATCGTATTTTACTACATTTTACTACAACATGTAACACTGACAACTATTCGGAATGATAATGACGCACAATTCAAGTCCTGCGTTACTTTTGGCCGTTATATTTAGAATTACCTCGAGACAAAACATATTTCCCGAATTACTAAAGTAAGACTAAACGTGTATGGATCCCCCTAACGATGATATTTGTTCCGATCACATAGAACACCTTATCGAATATTTCAGATTTATGGCAAATACTAACAAATAACTTACTAATGAAATACAGGATTCGGAAACGAATTTTTGCCGTGCGCGTTCATTGACTTTTTTTGCAGACGCCTGAAGTTTTTATGACCCGATCATTTCGCAAATTAATGTCGCCCAACCCGAAGTTGTATAATAAAAATTGACGGTATGCGAATTGTGACGGTGTGGTGATAAAATAACATTATTCATACATTACAAAGGTCGCAATATTGTTAAATTAATATATTTTGTAACGTATACGTGAAAAAAAAAACAGGTAAAAGTGGTCGCTGACCTCTAAACAGCTTCCTAAGATTAAATTTGAAATGTTAAACATACAAATGGGCGGGTCAAATGTTACCTAGGTAGCAATAAATTCGAATCTTGCGGTAATAACAGCTTAGCGATGATAGAGGCGTATCTATCTTCATTACGGGCCTCACAGGGAGTTTTTTTACAAGTGACGTATGTTACAACAACTGTTCAAAAATTTGTCCAACGACGTGTAAACACATTTGGCTCCGTCGTACTCAATTTCTACGAACTAACACAAATGCTGTCTTGCATAAATTATAACAATATCCATCAACTCCATTTTCGACACTAACTACTAAAAAACTTTTGTAAACACTATCGCAACGACGATTATAAAATCGGATTTCAGTATTCCGAGTCGCTAAGGCCACACAGCTCTCCACGCGTACTGCGATTGTTACAGTTGTCCAGCCATGTAGTGGTTGAAAGCTCTACAACTTCAATATTTCTTTTCTCGGAATCCATAAGGATTTTACATTTTTTTACGACATTGACTCCACTTCTCATGCCGCATCTATTCCCAATTTTTTTTTTAATAAGTTGTGAATCATCCTGTATATTGTCTTAAGTTTTCTAGTCTATAGATGGCACAACAAAAAGAATTTACCATGTATAATCGAGGGATATATCTGCTGAGGAATTATAAAATAAATATGAAATATACTTTCAGAAGCCTACATTATAACGACATTTCTCGTGAGGTATAAAGCGGTAGGCAGATCCATAGATTTATGTGTAAAAATCGTACAAGTTATAACTATACTTATCGAACATGGTCGAGAGTCTGCAAGTGAGTTAAAGTCATCTCAGAACAAGGCTCTGAGATGGTTGTGGTAGGGTCGTAGTTCTTGAATTATACATGAACCAGTAGCGCGTATTGAAAAAAAAATAATTATTTTATAAGGAAACTAAAACAGAAAAATGGGACCGAAATTATAGAAAATTATTTAAAAATTGTAACGTATTTTCAAATATATTGTGTTATCATTAGCTCTTATAGTTTTACTTTAGTTTAAAGCTAATTCAAATGCAGTATGCAGTCAAAAGATATATAATTTCATAGATAAGATTTGTAACTGATGATTTTCAAAATCAAAAACATTGTTTGGCTTCATTTAATAGGATTTTAGGGAACATTTTTATTTATTTTTTTTTTGTTTCGAATTAGCTTAATGCGAAATAAAGTAAAATTGTAACTGTCACAATTTTTTGTCACCGAATCTAAAACTTGTACGTGATAGTTACACGAAAATTGGCCCCTTCTTTTTCTTTGTTATTGTGACACACCTTCCACAAACACAGTTGAATGCACTATGTTTTTTTTAAGAACATTATGTTTTTTTAAGAGCACCCTGTATGTTTTAACATAGTGGAAAAGATCGTCAATAGAGCTTTTCAAAGATGTAGTATGTATGGTACTTATCTTTAACAATTTTTGAGGTGTATATTAATACATTTTTATTATTAAACATGTAATTTCAAATTGATTTTTTTTTGTAGCCACAGAAATTATTAGATACCGTTTTTAATTATAAATACAATATTTCAGAAACAAACTTGTCTATTTTCCAATTCGTCATTTTGCTGCAATATTGTTAGGTACTCCTTTTAATTTTTTAAACATCCTGCTGTCATTTATGTTTTTAAAGCAAATGTTCTATGGGATTCTAGTAATCACGTCCCGCTAAAAGAAAACGGAAGAAATTTTTTATTTTAGTGCAAATCAAATAAAAATTATTTCTGGTTCAATGTTCTGTTCAACATGTTCCTTTTGACGAATTTAATTATTAGCTGACAAATTAACAACGTTTTTTTAATTGTCAATAATTTTCCAATGTTACTAACTATACTAAAATAAGTGATATATTTTTGAAAAGCTCTTTTAACGAGCTTTCCAATGCCAATGGTTTAAAGATGTCTAGGGCGTTCCATTAAAAAAGAAACATAAGATAGGCCTATTCTGCGTCAATCAATTGTCTGTGTGATACATGGGTCAAAAAATGTTTAAAAAGTCTCTACAACTTTTATTCTTAAAATTTTCCGTAGATTGAACAAAACCAAGGAAAGTTACATTTTTTAAAATGTTCATTTCGAAGTTGAAATTTTATTGTTTCTCTTCAAATTGACCCCGTATACAAATTTTTGACTTTCATTTTTTTGTCTACAGGCACTTATCACGGATGCTTGATTTGTGATAAAAGATACTTTGAACAGGCAAACAGACCATAAAACGCGTTAAAAAACTGTCTAGATTCTTTAAAACAATAATTTTGTGGTATCAAAAAGAATATAAATTATTTTCGAAATACCCCTTCCTATATCATCCTACGCCACTGGCAGTCCGCTTCTGTTATCTCTGAAATAGTACCCCTATGAGTCCTACACATGCTAGCAAACAGGACCATTATAGATTCCCATACATAGGATAATGGTACATTTGATTCAAATGACGTGTTATCGAATATTGTGCGAAAATACCAGTTTGTTTAAATTTAAAACGTATTACAGTGCCACAGTCACGAACTCGTGTTTTCTGAAATGGTGTTATTGAATTTTTTTGTATAATTACAGTGTACAGGAAGTTTGACTGCCATAAAAATCCTCAGATGACATGGATCTTAAACTCAACCATTTTCGGAGAAAAAAAAAACTTGAAAGAATTTCGTAAGGAAAGGAATAAGTAAATAGAATTTTATAGCACCTATTTTATATCAGCAAATTCAACTGATTTTGTCGCTATTGTTATTATTAATTAATAAAATTAATTTGTGGTTTTAAATAATAAAATAATTTGGCATACATAATGTTACAACAACTGTTCAAAATTTTGTCCACCGACGTGTAAACAAATTTGGGTCCGTCCTACTCAGTTTCTACGAACTAAAATGCTGTCTTGTTTCACCATAACACAAATGCTTCACCATAATACAAATGTTTTCTTGCTTCACTAGAAATTAAAACGATGTCCATCAACTCTATACTATACACGCAAGCCATTTTGGACACTAGCCACTAAAAACTATTGTAAACACTATTGCAACGACGACTGTAAAATCGGATTTCAGTATTCGGAGTCGCTGAGGCCACGTGGCTCTCACGCGTATTACGAATGACGCTAGAGACTACAGTTGTCCAGCTATGTAATGATTGAAAGTACTACAACTTTAATATTTTTTTTCTCGGAAACTATAAGGATTTTACAAATTTGCATGCCGCATGTATTCCCAAATTTTTTTGAATAAGTTGTGAATCACCCTGTATTTTTGATATGATAAAATTGATTCGACAAACTTTAAGCGAATATAGAACTTACAATTAAAATGGAAATAAACCAAACATTTTTTTCTTCTTTGATAAAACATACAAACAATATTTATTTTTTCGAAATATTTCTTAAAGCTTTTTCTGAAAATTTTGAAATTGTTTGTACTACCTACCTATTTTATTTTTTTAAATAGAACACATTACGAAAAAATTACAAGAATGAAAATTATAAGTGAAAATTCTTCATCATTTCTTTTTAAAGTTAACGAATTTTTTTTATTTCGAAAATTCAACGCCCTTAATCTTCTCAACGAACTATCTTAGAAACAAAAATTAAATGACCTACCCCATTATTTTTTAAAATTGTATGTGCTTTGGAAGTTTATTGGTTCATTTTTGTTACACCTATATTGTACGCTATATATTCTTTATTTTCACAAAATTTGAACTAGACGCCAGAAATTGTTTCTAAAAAAAAGATCTATGACTATTTTCAACTGATCACTTGTTTGCTTTGCCGACAGAATCATTTAAATGCACTTTTCTTCGTCAAAAGAGTTACATTTTTTTCCATCTCCATTCTCTCAAATCAACGACGTCCAATTATTTATCTTCCAGTCTAAGCAGGCCGTGATTTACGCCGGGAGTTTGTCGAATTTATGGGTGCCTTTCCTGCACGCAAGTGATAACCAGCTACGTAATTAATAATACGTGTTTATTATTTTCCACGCCTGACAGCTAGACATGTACAACAATAACATATTATTCGCGAAACGATGATTCAGATATCTCACGCGACCACACTCGAGAGCCCCATTCAGGAATCGCTATCTAGATGAAGACCGATCTTTAATAAGGCCAGTGAATATGTCGTAGTGTCATTTTTCCTCTTCCATTGTCTCCGCGCAAAGTCGAAGTGGGCGGCCAAACAGTGGAACCAACAGAAGTGGAAATAAAAGTGAGATGATGAAGTGAAGTATTCCGCTGATAAAATCTAGCAGGTATACGATACTTTGTCCAAAATTAGATCTAAAAGCTCTTTGAGGAGGATACCATGTGATAAAATTTTATTTATTTTTTAGTTCGTTTGTTTCACATGCTTCTAAATATGTTCATTCATGCTAAAATGTAAATGTGTTATGACTGTCTGCAAGATGTGCATAGATAAATACTGATCAATAAAACAGCTAGATGGTATTTGTATCGTTGGGATTCACATATCTAATGCTAATTCGAAGCAATGTTCTACGACGTAGCAATCTCGTATAAAGAATTTGTCACAACCTGTCATGTTATATCTGTCGTGCGCCTTTGCAACATTCGTATACGGTCATGCTTTACGATGCTTGTACTTTTTTACACTTTGGTATGAGCAAAAAGGCCGCCACATATCGTGTCATAACGACAAAAGCAATCATTAAAGGTGATCGAAACATTTTCTCTATCCACTGACTATTTCAGGCAGTGATTCAGTTTTTAAATAAAAAAAAGGACTAGGAAGTTTTTATAACGTTCTTTCTGTTTGCTTTAATTTGCTACTTTTAGCTGGAACCAATCGGTGGATTGAATTTTACGGTACGGTATAGAAATTAAATCTAACCAAAACGGAGACTTTTATTTGTGCGGGGCACTATTATAGAACAAAATATCGCGTTTCTGTTCTTCAGTGACTGCTTTTATTTCCTCAAACTTGACACTCAGTGCAAGGTCCGTCAACCTAAAGGCATTCGATCCACTTCATCTTAGCTCCAACGTCCTTCCAAGGTCAAACGCATTCGCTGGAAGGTACACACCGCTAATTAAAATACTTGTCGACGTGAGCGGTTCGTTAATAAATTGTTGAATAGTGAAACCACAGACGGCTTTCAACCGTCGAGCTATTTTTGGAAGTCAAAAAAGTTCATATTAGGTCAAAAACTTTGTTGGAAATAGGGACATCGCACCGTTCTCTGCAGTTGCATACATGTCTGCATAATCGCGAAAAATATTTGAGTAATGTATTCTTTTTAATCCTATTCATTGCGTGCATACTCTTCTATTAGTATACGATGTTGTTTAAATTCAAAGAGTGATAGTTGAGCAGATCCATCAAATAGAACAAATCTTCTAGAAAAATAACAATAAATAACTTGACACTGTTCTTTGGAACGCCCTCTATACCTTTGGAGTTACGAATTAACTTTTTGAGACCGCTGAAGCTCATGTTAAATAAAGAAAGTAAACCGCTCCCATGACCTTTAGAACTAAGAACATTCGCTTACCCCTAACAGATTTAATCCATACCTTTTAATAACGTACCTACTAAAGAAACTAATGCTGTGATTCTTCCAGAACTGACACCGATCGAGCTAACGAGAAGCGCACGCCAAATCATCGAATACAGCGCGAATTTCCGATGCCCCAATGAAGGCTACCACTCCGACCCGCAGAACTGTAGGGGCTTCTACAGGTGCGTATCCGATGGGAAAAATTCGCTGATGGCGATAAGATTCGAGTGCGCGGAAGGCACGGTGTTCGATCCCGCCATCAGTGCGTGCAACTACCCTTACGCCAGCAACAGGATAGAATGCGGTGGTAATGGAGTCGATGGCAACTATGGTCAAGTGAATAACAACAACAACGCGCCTGTTTCTACAAGTTCACCTGCTCCTGTTACTTCGACTGTTTCTTCACTGCCATCCACGACGATATCTAGTCAAATTGGAACCAGGTGTAACCAAGAAGGCTTCTTGGGCGACCCAGTCGACTGCAAAAAATTCTTCAGGTGTATAAATAATGGTCAAGGCGGCTTTTTGCAGTACGAATTCTCGTGCGGTACTGGCACAGTATGGGATGCTGCTTCCTTATCCTGCAACTACCCATGGGCCGCAAATAGGATAGGTTGTGCTGTAGAACCGCAAACTTCAGGTAACCCTCAGATATTAAGAGACTCTGAAAGTAGTTCGTCGTTTTCAAATGCATCCTCTTCCTCGTCAAACTCCTCTCTCTCTTCCCAGCAAAGTAGTTCATACCAAAACTCTAGTAGCAGCTCCAGTAGCTCTAGTAGTAGTAGCAGTAGCTCTTCCTCACAATCTTCTCAAAGCACTTCTTCTCCAGGCACAAACGCACAACAAGGCACGTCTCAAAGCTCCCCTTCTTCTTCACAAAGCTCTAATTCTCAGGGCTCTTCCTCCTCTCAAGGTTCTTCTTCTCAGGGCTCCTCACAGGGCTCGTCTTCTCAAAGTTCTTCATCTTCAAGTCAGCAATCTTCCACAGGGCAACAGGGATCTTCCTCGAGTCAAGGAGGTTTATCTGGTTCAAGCCAACAGTCATCTAGTTCTTCTGGAGGTTCTCAACAGGGTTCTCAATCTTCTAGTTCATCCAATCAAAATCAACAAAACCAGCAGGGCTCTCAATCTTCTAATCAGAATCAGCAAAGTAATGGTTCAAGTCAACAGAATCAGTCATCTAGTTCTTCTTCAAATCAGAACCAACAGACAGGAGGTTCCAACCAGCAAAATTCTCAATCTTCTAGTTCTCCTTCTTCGAATCAAAATCAACAAACTGGCGGCTCAAATCAGCAAAATTCTCAGTCTTCCAATTCTTCCTCTTCGAATCAAAACCAACAAACTAGCGGTTCAAATCAACAGAATTCTCAGTCCGGTTCTTCAAATCAAAATCAGGGTTCTAGTCAACAAAATCAACAAGGTTCTTCATCCAGTTCCAATCAAACTCAAGGGTCTCAGCAGTCTCAGTCTGGTTCCTCCTCGAATCAAAATCAACAAGGTTCCCAATCTAGTGATTCTTCCAGTCAACAGTCAAGCTCACAAACAGGAAGCTCTAGTCAGACTAGCGGAACCCAGTGTACTGTAGAAGGATTTATAGGTGACAGTAAGAATTGCAGCAAGTTCTATAGGTGTGTAAGCAATGGGAGAGGCGGTTATACAAAATACGAATTTAACTGTACGAAAGGAACAGTTTGGGACCAAGACGCTTTGACCTGCAATTATCCATCTGTGGTAAGAGGATCATGTAGTAATGTAGATGTCTCAAATCAGCAAGGAACATCCAGTGGAAACCAAAATCAACAAGGCACCTCTAACCAGCAAGGATCCTCTAGCCAAAATCAACAGGAAGGTTCTAATCAGAATCAACAGAATCAGCAGGGAACCTCTGGTGAAAATCAGCAAGGTTCCTCAGGTCAAAATCAACAAGGAGGTTCTAATCAAAACCAACAAAATCAGCAGGGAACCTCAGGTCAAAATCAACAGAATCAACAAGGTTCTACAGGTCAGAATCAACAAGGAGGTTCTAATCAAAATCAGCAAGGAACATCTGGCCAAAACCAACAAAATCAGCAGAATCAACAGGGGACTTCAAATCAGCAAGGAAACGATTCTGGATCACAGAATCAGCAGCAAAGTGGCAGCCAAAACCAGGGAACTACTAATCAAACCATAACACCTGGCCAAATTGTAAATAACCAGTGTGTATCTGCAGGATTTGTCAAAGACGATAATGATTGCAAAAAGTTCTACAGATGCGTTAGTGATGGTAAAAATAGTTTTACCAAATACGAATTTTCTTGTGCTGATGGAACAGTTTGGGATGAAACAATTGAATCTTGTAATTACCCATACGCTGTAAGAGGGAAATGCGGTGATGGTTCTGCACAGCAAGGTTCTAACCAACAAGGATCCAATCAACAAGGTTCAAATCAACAGGGATCTAATCAACAAGGTTCCAATCAACAGGGATCTAACCAACAAGAATCGAATCAACAAGGATCTGGTCAACAAGGTTCAAATCAGCAGGGATCTAATCAACAAGGGTCTAATCAACAGGGATCTAATCAACAAGGATCTAACCAACAAGGATCTAATCAGCAAGGATCTAATCAACAAGGATCCAATCAACAGGGATCTGGTCAACAAGGTTCTAATCAACAAGGGTCTAACCAACAGGGCTCTGGTCAACAAGGATCCAATCAACAGGGATCTGGTCAACAAGGTTCTAATCAACAGGGATCTAATCAACAAGGTTCTAACCAACAGGGATCCAATCAACAGGAATCTGGTCAACAAGGTTCTAATCAACAAGGGTCTAACCAACAGGGTTCTGGTCAACAAGGGTCTAACCAACAGGAATCTAATCAGCAAATCCAGACTGGTCAGATAATTAACAATGTTTGTGTAAAAGAAGGATTCGTAGGAGATGATAAAGACTGTAAGAAATTCTATAGATGTGTCAGTGACGGCAAGAATAGCTTTACAAAATACGAATTTAATTGTGGAGATGGAACGGTTTGGGATGGAACTACCGGATCATGTAACTATCCATACGCTGTTGGAGGTAAATGTGGCACTGCTCAAGGAGAAAGCAATCAGCAAGGCTCAAATCAACAAGGTTCTGGACAAAATCAACAAGGAACGTCTGGTCAAAACCAACAAAATCAGCAAGGAACATCTGGCCAAAATCAACAAAACCAGCAAGGATCTTCAGGTCAGAATCAACAGAACCAGCAAGGATCAAATCAACAAGGAACGTCTGGTCAGAATCAACAGAACCAACAAGGATCAAATCAACAAGGAACGTCTGGTCAGAATCAACAGAATCAGCAAGGAACGTCTGGCCAAAATCAACAAAACCAGCAAGGATCTTCAGGTCAAAATCAACAGAACCAGCAAGGATCGAATCAACAAGGAACGTCTGGTCAGAATCAACAGAATCAGCAAGGAACGTCTGGCCAAAATCAACAAAATCAGCAAGGATCTTCAGGTCAGAATCAACAGAACCAGCAGGGATCGAATCAACAAGGAACTTCTGGTCAAAACCAACAAAATCAACAGGGGTCAAATCAACAAGGCTCCAATCAACAAAGTGGTAATCAACAAGGGTCCAACCAGCAAGATAATAATCAACAGGGAGGGTCAAATGAACAAAGCTCAAATCAACAAAATTCTGGTCAACAATGTACTATAGAAGGTTTTATCGGAGATAACAAAAACTGTAGCAAATTCTATCGATGTGTAAACAATGGAAGAGGCGGCTATACAAGATATGAATTTAACTGTACAAACGGAACGGTTTGGGACCAAGACTCCTTAACTTGTAATTATCCTTCTGCTGTGAGAGGTAATTGTGGCAGTGCCCAAAATCAGCAAACCCAACAAGGTGGTAGTGAAGAAAATCAGCAGAATCAGCAAGGAGGCTCTAATGGGCAGAATCAACAGAACCAACAAGGAGGAAATGGCCAGCAAAATCAACAAAATCAACAAGGGGGATCTAGCAACCAAAATCAACAAAATCAACAAGGAGGAAGCGGCCAACAAAATCAACAAGGAGGAAGCAGTCAACAAAACCAACAAAATCAGCAAGGAGGAACTGGAGGTCAGAATCAACAAGGTCAACAAAACCAAGGAGGAAGCGACCACCAGAACCAACAAAACCAACAAGGAGGAAATGGTCAGCAAAATCAACAGGGGGGAAGTGGCCAGCAGAATCAACAAAATCAACAAGGAACAACAAATCAGACAGTTAATCCAGGACAGATTGTGAATAATCAGTGTGTGAAAGAAGGATTTGTCAAAGATGATAATGAGTGCAAAAAGTTCTACAGATGTGTAAATGACGGTAAAAATGGATTTATCAAATACGAATTTTCTTGTGCTGAAGGAACTGTTTGGGATGAAACTAAAGAATCTTGCAATTACCCTTATGCCGTTAGCGGAAAATGTAATAATGCCCAAAATTCAAACCAGGGTACCAACCAACAAGGAAATAATAATCAGCAGGGTTCAAACCAACAAGGAGAAAATCAGCAAGGATCAAACCAACAAGGATCTAATCAACAAGGTTCAAATCAACAAGGAGGAAATCAGCAAGGATCTAATCAACAAGGA